CTCTGGCTCCCCCAGCGAGCCCGCGAAGCTGCAAGCAAGCTCCGGGAAGAGATTGCTGCCGTGCGGCAACGGTATCTCGTACCTGTAGTACAACAAGACAAGGGCTTCGCCGAACTCATCGCCTCCATCAGTCTGGCTCGGAATATTGCAATCGTCGGAAGCGGGCCGAGCCTGAAAGGTGCCCGGCAGGGAGCAAAGATCGATGCCCATGACCTTATAGTGCGGACCAACTTCCCCCCCATAGGAGGAGTTTTCGCCGAAGACGTCGGCTCTCGGGCGGATATAGTTTTCAACTGGCGCCCGCCAACAGATTACAAAATCAGCGAGGCGACTTCCAGGCGCGGGAACGTGCTTTATCGGGGAGCACTCATCGTTCAGGCTTCGCCGAATTTCAACGCACACTATGCTCCCTTCACGGCCGACGATCTGGCAACGGTTGGAGTGTCGCGGTTTGCCAGATTGCCCCCAACGATCATGCAACTGATCCTCGACCTGTCCTATGCATATCCAACCACGGGATTTATCGCCATTGTTTTCATCGCTCTTCTTCTGGATCGTCCCGTGTCGATATTTGGGTTCGACTTTTTTGAGACTTACGGAATGCATTTCTGGAGTTCTAGAAGGAGGCTTCCTTACTCTGAGCACGAGCCGAAGTTCGAGAAGCGCATGGCGGTGAATATGCTGAAGGTTCACTTCGGTGTCGTTTGAGCGACTGAGAGAGAGACAACGAGGCGAGCCTAACGTCCTGCCCAGAGGTCTGCCGCGGCAATTCCCTGACCGACAAGATATCCTTCCGGTACTGGGGGGCCGCTTCTCTAGGTCAGCTGGAGTGCGGGCATTTTTGATTGTAGATCTCGACGTAGCAACCGGGCGAGGGCCCGCGCATCGGTACGCAGGTGATGCCCATCACTCCAGCAGCGTCCAGGATGGTTGCTTTATTTTCTGCACGACCAGTTCGATTTCAAAGCAGCCCACCGCAGGAAGATCTGGTGTGCGATCGTAGTCGTAGTCCTTGTCATTTTCGATCAGATGTCTGATTCGATAAGTATTCGGGGCGAGCGCTTTCTCAAACTCCAACAATAAAGACTGCGGTGTATAGAACCGCAGGTGCCCCGAGTGCCATCGAGACGGCAGTGTGCGCTTTCGCTCGTAGAGTGCGGCATGAGGAACGACCACGATTATGTGCCCGCCTAGTTTCGTAACGCGATACCACTCTCGGATGGCTGTTACAAAATCCGGGATGTGCTCCAGGCAATGGCTCGAATACACCGTGTCTTGGCTATCGGTATCAAAGGGAAGTATGCGTCCATCGTATCCGGGATAGTCAATATCGACACCAATTGCGCCCTCAAAGATAGGCACAGCTCCTCCTCTATACCCTGCGAAGCCGATATCAAGAATATTAGGGCCGGTTATGTATCGAGACCAAAAACCCGAATCGAGTTTGTCATCGAAAGACTTCCTGCTTTCGGTACCGACGCTGCGGCCATATTGTTGAATGAGCGGCCTGACTGTCGAAATGTCTTCGCTGGAGATCGGCTTCCAGCTCAATCCCCGAAAAGATACTCCAAGCTCTCGACGATCAGCGCCGATACCCAACGATTCCGGGCTGGCGCAATTCGGAATTCGTATATCCAACACTACCTCGCCGTTTTCGGTGAGATCAGTATCATTTATAAGAATTGCGCGTTTCCGGAGGCGTCGTCGATCTCGAAGTTTCCACTCTGCCACCTTTCTCCCACCCCGAACAAATATGGAAACTATTTGCTCGGGCAGTTGCTCGGCCGCTACGAATGATCCAACCTCGAATTTGATAGCGAAGTATTGTGCAGAATGCTTCGGCAGCCGAAACTTCATCTCGGCTTCACGACCAATGGTCCAATATAGATCCCTCTTCCTGGATACTTTGGCTATATTGACCAGACTGCAAAAATTCAAAGCGTCCTTACTATCGAAGTTCAATGTGCGAGGAAGAAAGCTCAATTCCGAATGATGAGCTTGATGTGAATTTCCTCCGGTCTGCAGAACTGGAATATTGGTCACTTCGCTCGCTCCCCAGGATTTTGTCGTGCAGA